TCGTGTAGGCTTCTGCATTTTCCATATATGTGACACCCTCAGATTGGGCTGTTAAAGGTCTTTGAGGTTTCTACAGTTTAGGCTAGATGGATGAAGTTTAATATTTGTCCACTGTCTTAATTATGCCTTCGTTCTTTAATGTGGTACTAGAGGAAATTGAAATTGATGTGACTGTATTTCTTTTAAAATGCCTTTTGTGGGACAGATTGGCTGAGTGTGTTAGACCAGCATAGTCAAAACTTGTTTTTAGTTCCAAAAAACTTTGTGTCAAGTTGAACATTTTAACTCTATTTTTGTTTTTGTGTATTAGACCAGCATAGTCAAAACTTGCTTTTAGTTCCAAAAAACTTTGTGTCAAGTTGAACATTTTAACTCTATTTTTGTTTTTCCCCCCTCGTTACAGATGTGAATCAAACCAGACAGAGTAAGATGCTATGATTGTTACAATGATGTGAAGTATGGTTCTTAAATGCTCGTTAATGCAACATTAAATGCAACTATTGCTGTTAAATGCAACATTAAATGCAACTATTGCTGTTGGGCAGCAGTACAGTAAAGCATAAAATAATATGAGTATCAGTATCCCTTCAGTTACATATTTCAATATAGAATCACAGAATTGGTCCATACAGGCCATCTAGTCCAACTCCGTGCTCAATGCAGGATTAGCCTAGCTTCCCTGACAAGTTTTTGTCCAGCCGCTGCTTAAAGACTGCCAGTGAGGGGGAGCTCACCCCCTCCCTAGGCAGCTGATTCCAGTGTTGCACAACTCTTACTGTAAAAAAGTTTTTCTTAATATCTACCTGGTACCTTCCCACCCTTAATATAAACCCATTATTACTGCTGCCAACAGGAACAGCTCCCTGCCCTTCTATAAGTGACAACACTTCAAATAGTTGTTGTAGATTTTCTGGCCTCTATGGCCGTGGTCTTGGCCAAGACCACAGCCATACTGCCTGGAAAATCTACAACTAATGAACTCTGGTCATGAAAGCGACAGCATATAGCCCTTCAAATAGTTAAAGAGAACAATCGTGTCCCCCCTCAGCCTCCTCTTCTCAAGACTAAATGTTCCCAAGTCCCTCAACATTTCCTCATAGGGCTTGGTCTCCAGGCCCTTGATCATCCTCATCGCTCTCCTCTGTACCCGCCCCATTCTGTTCACATCCTTTTTGAAGTAAGGCCTCCAGAACTGCACACAGTACTCCCAAGTGTGGCCTGACCAATGCAATGTACAGCAGGACTATGACATCTTGTGATTTGGATGTTATGCCTCTGTTGACACAACCCAAGATTGCATGAGCCTTTTTTGTTGCTGCATCACACTGGCTGCTGATATTTAACTTTTGGTCCACCCTTACCCCAAGATCTTGTTCACACACACTGCTACTCAGAGGTGTATCCCCCATCCAGTTACCCAGATGTAGAACTTGGCACTTATCCTTGTTAAATTGCATCTTGTTCACATCCACCCACTTTTCCAGCATGTTCAGATCTCGTTGAATTCTGTCTCTTCTGGTGTGTTCACTGCCGCTCCCAATTTAGTGTTATCTGCAAATTTAATGAGCAACCCCTCCACACCCTCATCCAGATCATTTATAAAAATATTGACAAGAACATTCAGATGACTGAATCGGTTAGCTTCTTAGACAACTGGTAAACCTAATAGTTCGCTGTCATTAATTTGCAATACCATAGCTCAGTTCAGAGATGCTACCCCCCCAAAAAAAGCTGGGGATACATGGCTCATGCATTTCTCCTTCCTTCACATGGTACTAGATAATTAGTTATTTCCTGGTTGATAGCAAACTGTAGTTGGCAAATCATGATTTGTTTTTGCCTTGTAAACCAGGATTCCCAACTACAGTAGCTCTTAGCACAGAGTGGAGCATGGTGGTCCCACTCTCACCTCCAAGGAAAGCATAGTGACTTTTGGGGTTATTTTGTTGGTGTTAGATTGTGGTGCTTTCAGTTATGATTTGTAGACTGCCTTGAGCCAAGAGGAGCGATGAATATAAATGTTTTAATAAATAAAATTACCACCTTGTTCACATGGCACCTGTGCATGGAGAAAGTGTAGATGCATATTCTCTCTCCTCATTATTGCTTTTCAAATGTTTCTGATCACAGTGAGTGAGTGTACGCTGTGTATAGGTGTCACAGGCCAGTGTGTTTGTACCCACTCCCACTCTACGTGCATTCACTGAACATTTAAAAGTGTTATGTATATTGCTAGTGAATTTCCATTTTGGAATCTTTGTTTGTGAGATAAGCATAAACCGTACTTTACCAGTGTAGATGCAAAGGCAAACTGTAAGATGCTGCAAACCCAAAAGTATCTAAGGGAGCACATGAATTGGATGGGCTCCCTAGCTCTCCCAAAAAAGAGAGCAAGTGAGTAAGAGAGATCCCTGTTTAATTGAGAGCCAGGTCCTATGAGTGCTGGGGTCTGATGAACCAGCATTTGTTGCTTGGCCATTTGTTCAGTGTTTTTTACCATTCACTGATACTTTCCTGTCCCCTTCCTTTTTGTGATCTTAGTCACTTGTATTCGTTGTCAGCAACCAGTCTTGTTGGTGTAGGCCTGACTTTATTCATTTTGTCTTTGCCATTTATATCTTTGAGAGAGTGCCTATGTTCTTAGTACTTCAGGTTAATATTAATCTCTTGTGGTAGCAATATTACCTTGGTACAAGTGGGATCTCAAGCCGTGGTTATATGGATAGGATTCTGCTTAATATACCCACCTCCTCTCCAGTCCACACCATGTTGCTACCTTATCCACTTCCAAGTTGTGTGGTAAAAATCTGCTAGTTCAGTTGCACTATCTGGAGACACTACACTGATTGAATACTTGTGGTTTCTTGCGCCAGTGCATCACTGGTTCATGACGTTACATGATACAGCTGTGCTTGCATTATAGTAGTATATATTAGCAAATACTTTTTGAAAACTTTTCTCACCTTTTCCCTCTTACCTAGTGTGCTGATAAATGATCTAACAGTTACCAGTAGTGAAGACAGTGATGGTGAGCAGGTATGTGCTAGAAGTATTTTTTTTTTAAGGGGGAATGACTACCTATCAGGCACCTGTGGCCGGGTCTTGGTTGTTGTTTCTGCTGCGGAGGTTCTTAGTCCTGGGTGGCGACGTCTCTGCGCAGATCTTCATTAATAAAAAATAGGCAAAGTTATTTTGAGAATGTAAAAGACAGAGCCATATTTTTTTGTAAAGTCTTGTAAATTGACAAACAATGCCTGTCAAAAGAGATCTGAATTGATCTCCTGTTGATTTCTGTCTATTCCTGGTTTAAAACATTACCAAATTAAGAACTGTATTTTCATTTCCATAAAGTCCATTCTTATGAGCTACAGTTTGTGTGGGTTATAACCATTGCATATATTCCTTTACACTTGATCAGCATCTTATGGATGCTAGAGTAAAGTAGCTGAGATATGAATGCTGTAGTTTTCTGTTCTTATGTACAATATAATGCTTTAATTACAGGATTCAGATAAGACGGTCCCAAGAGGTACACCTGGGAGGTAGGCATCTGTGGTCGATAAAATATTGTCTGTCTATTGCATGATCATACCTTGAGCTGAGAGCAGTGTGCATAAGGTACCCTCTTCTAAGTTTATCCTTACAACACCCCTGTGGGATAGCTTATTAGGCTAGGAGAGAGCAACTGGCCCAGGGTACCTAGTGAGTCTCATGGATAATCAGGGATTTGAGCTTAGGTCTCTCACATTAGTGAGTGCAGCAAACTGCTGTGTGGAAATGCCATAGTACTGAACTATTCATAAATTCACCTCTAGGATTTTAGTGCTTTATTTAAAGGAAGAGATAAACAGGATTTCACCTCTTATTGAATTGCCATGTGTCTTTAGCTGGTTGAGAAAATCTCTAACAGTTTTTCTTATTAATCTTTATATTATTACTTGTCAAAGTTATGGTGATTTTTTTAAAAGCTAACATAACTGTGTGTTCTTTTATCATCCTCCAGTAATTCTGAGCCATCTCAGCATACAAGCGAAGGGGCAGATAATTCCAGGGATGATTCAAGCAGTCACAGTGGATCTGAGAGCAGTTCTGGTTCAGACTCTGAAAGTGAAAGTAGTTCTAGTGACAGTGAGGCCAATGAGCCATCACAGAATGCAACTCCAGAGGTAGGATTTTTTTTTTTTGCTTTCAAATGTCCAGTGACTTTTGCTTATCATATTAGTAATTTTCCGACATAAAAAATATAGCAATGACTCAAGGGTGGGCATTGTCAGTGAATTCAGTCTTCCATCTTGCATCCCATACTGTTTCCAAAGGACTCTTGACCCTGCTTTTCAGGTGTTATTGGGGGAGGGTGCTGCTGCTGCAGGGTAGAGGAATGCAGAAAGATTTATTCTACAAACAGAGCTCCTGCTCATGGTTCCTAAGATCCAGCCCTAAAACTGCAAGGCAAATTGCTACCAATCTGTTTGCCTGAGGAGAGAATCAGTTGCTCCTAGATCTACAAACAAGTGGCAAATGGCTCTTTCTGTGGCTCCCTGCCCAGAAAACACAATGCAGAGTTATGGCAAGCATGAGAGGCAGTGTGCTTTTTAAGCAGCAGCCGCCTCAATGCTGCTGTGATTTGCAAGGCTGTAGTAAAAATTGCATTTGTTACTTTGGTGCGGTTTATTAGCCACAATAAGTTTCTTGTTTTTCAAATGTTCTCCCTCTTTCCTTAGCCTGAGCCACCTCCAGCAAATAGGTGGCAGCTTGACAACTGGCTGAACAAAGTGAATCCACATAAAGTATCACCAGCTTCTTCTGTGGACAGTAATATCCCTTCAACACAAAGCTACAAAAAAGAGGGCAGAGATCAGAGTTCAGGGAGTGGATATGCAGATCAAAGTGGATCTAAAGATTCAGTTTCTTCTACTCCTGGAAGAGATTCTAAAGCTACCCAGAAAGGGTCAGAGAGCAGTCGTGGTAGACAGAAATCACCTGCTCAGAGTGAAAGCATCCAAAGGAGGACTGTAGGTAAAAAACAGCCCAAAAAGGCAGACAAACCATCTGTGGAAGAACCTCCTAGAGGGGGGCTGAAAATAGAAAGTGAAACCCCTTTGGACATGGCAACAAATATACCTTCTAACAGACATAAGGCAGCCACTAAAGGCTCCAGAAAGCCCAATATAAAGAAGGAACCCAAATCCTCCCCTCGGCCTACAACAGAGAAAAAGAAATGCAAGGTTGCAGGCAAATCCTCCCAGAAATCCAAGGAATTCATAGAAACTAGTACCTCATCTTCTGATTCTGATGAGAATGAGAGCCTGCCTCCTTCTTCACAAACCCCCAAATACTCTGAGAGCAATAGGACTCCTGTTAAGCCCTCCATAGAGGAGGATGACAACTTTTTACGGCAAAGAATGTTCTCTCCTATGGAAGAGAAGGAACTCCTTTCCCCACTCAGTGATCCTGATGAAAGGTATCCCCTTATTGTGAAGATTGACTTGAGCCTCTTAACCAGAATACCAGGGAAGCCTTACAAAGATACAGACCCATCAAAAGCTGAAAGGAAAAATGTGTCTGAGAAGCATCCAAGGGAGCCTCAGAAAACATCCTCTGAGAAAACTTCCACCAAGGGCAAGAGGAAGCATAAGGTAGACCAGTCTTTGATATGATATTCTAGTCTCCTACTCTTAATGGAAATGATCTTTTGCCTGGTATCCTCTCTGTACCACAGAAGGCTCATCAGCTCTGTTGAAGGTCCGGAGTTGATTTAGCCGTCTTAATTTTGGCAAAGCATACCTGCAATTGTTTTGAGAAAATGTTAACTTCATTTCTATGAGTGTGAGGGGAATAAATTTAAAACAAAGGAGTGTGTTGGGAAATGATTGGTGAATGAATTGATATTACTATCATACTACCATGGCAAGCAAAAGTATGTTTCTAAGGATAAATTTTGCCATTAGTAGTTTAGTCAGGCTAATCAAAAGGTATGGTGGTGTTTGTTTGAATATATATGTCTAATTTGATGGACAGGACATCAATTAGTTGGTAATTATGTTAATGGAGTCTAACAGACTTAGAAAATCTTAAAAGATGACAAGCAAAATCCCTTGGGTGATTTCTATGTATTGTGAGAGGATTTAATTTTTAGAACATCTGTGTTGGCAGGGAGATGGGCTTGGGTGATCTCATTAGTCTATCACACTGTAGACTTCTGCAACTTTATCACATCAACAGACCCTGATTACAGGGATTAAAATGTTTTTGTTTTGTTTAAAATTGTTACATGTCTTATTGTGAAGGGAACCTAGCAATGCAATCATGCACAGAATTACTCCAGTATAAGCCCATTGATGTGATCACATTGTCAACCACATTACCCTAGTTAGATTTTCTTTGATGATTCCACTTTTATGAATGTTTTGCAGGCCCAAGGTCAGACTTTATAAATCCATGATTCAATAGTGGCTTTAGTTAAGCTGCTACATTCAACAATCCCAGGCCATTTTATGGTTGCTTAGGATATATTTAGGAGTTAAGCCTAAGATATATTTAGAAATTAACATGGTCATCTTTGTATGACCTGTATATGAATCCTTATGTCAATCTGAGACACATTTAGTGGTTTTTCCCCCCTTGAAAGGACTCTGTTGTGAAACAAAAGCTTTACTATGACAATGACAGTGTTGGCACTACACATATCCCTGTGTAGCTGTTGATTACATATATTTCAATTTTTCCTCTTAGTAGCTGGTCACAGTGAAGCAAGCTAGCTATTGCTTGAAGAGCCAAAGGGGATGGAAGGAACTTTATCTTCAGAGTATTTTTTCAAGTACACTAGATCCTTGTGCCTTTAATTTCAAAAGTAGGACACCATTGTAGCTCTATTTAGTGCTGTCCAGTGTTAACTCTAATTCAGTATTCCTGAATATGAATCCTCATGTTGAACTGAGACATACTTCATGATCCCCCCCCCCAAAAAAAATGACACTGTTAGGAAACAAAAGGCTTTATTATAATAGTGACAGTGGTGGGACTGTTATGAACCTGAGCTGCATCAGTTGTTTCACCAACTTCTCCTGAATCTTCTTGGTAGCTATGGTCATCAGTACAGTAAATATTAGGACCCCCTCCTTCAGAGGTGAGATGAGTGGCAACTAGGGGTATGTATTTGGCTTCCCCAAACCCCGAAAAACACCAGATAAATGCATTGTCAGTATTTATTTGGTATTCTTAAGCCAAATGCAAATTCAGAAAACTCTTCGGCAACTGAATAGAGTTTTCCGAATGTATTGGGCTTTCTGGTAGCCAAATGCTGACTTCCCTCCCCCTGTAGCTTCTTTAGTCAATTTCACTCCCCACCAGTCAGCTCTTAGGTTTAAGCCAGTTAAACCTAACAGCTGAGGGGCAGGTGGGAGTGAAACTGACCAGGGAAAGCCGCCTCTCTCTGCCTTCCCTTCTCTAGCTGCCCCAGGGCTGCTGGAGAAGCGCAGGCAGAGAGCACAGCCACGTTTAAATGCCTTTCATTCTCTCCCTGAGCTCAGGCCGGCTGGGGAAGCCAAGGGCAGGCATGGAAACATGCCTGGGCTCCCTGCCTGCCCTTCTCCAGCTGCCCTGCAGTTGCGGGATGGCTGGAGAAGGGCAGGCAGAGACAGTGCAGGCATGTTTAAATGCCCTTCCTTCTCACACTGAACTGAGAATTGCTGACTTTCCCTTCCCTCCCTGAGTCTCTTCACAGCAGCGGAGAGGCTCAAGGAGGGGTGGAGGCATGTTTCCTTGGCTTCCCCAGCCAGCTGGCCACGGCAGACAGTTGGGAAGCCAAAGGCAGCCATGGAAGCATGCAGCTAGAGAAGGGAAGGCAGTGAGAGGACGCTTTTCCTGGTCAGTTTCACTCCCATGGCCTGTCTGATGTTAGGTTTAAATGGCTTAAACCTAACAGCTGACTGGCCATGGGAGTGAAACTGACCAGGAAAACTGCAGGGGCTTAGGGAGGGAAAGTTGGCATTTTAACATGCCTCCCTTCCCTCCCGTTGGGTATATCAGACCCAAATATATTCAGCAATACCGAGTATTTCCCTAGTCCTAATACTTTACTGGTATTGGACTGGGGAAATTCAGCATTTACCAATATTTTTCGGATCTGATATACCCAAAGCCAAAAAATACTGACTTTTTTTTTTTTGCACACCCTAGTGGCGTCTTGCATATGGAATGTCCCTTGAGACTTGCCTGGTGCCATGTGTTGCTTCCTTTTAGGTGCCAAATCAAAACATTTATTTTTACCCAGGCTTTAATTAAGGGGTTGATCCTTCAACACTATTTTAGCCTTTAAACCATTATTTTAAGCTGTCAGTGGTCTATCTGTTTTTATGGTCTGTGCTTTTATGTTGGGCTGATCTACAGTTATGCACCAAAACTGAGGTAAGTGCTCTTAAAATTAGAAAGATTCAAAGAGCGTTTACCTCAATTTTGGTGCATAATTAAGTATATTGGCAGTCTGGTTTTTTGATCTGATTTTATAGTATATTTGTACCACGTTAATGAATGTAGAAGAATAATTTTTTTAATTTCCCCTGTTCTTATGACTGAGAGATTTAACACACATGCTATGAAGAGAAGGTTGCAAAAACTGATGTGTGTTAAATGTTTTGCAGTGCAGTCCTATGCAGAGTTATTCCAGTACAAATCCATTTATTTCAGTGGGTGTGAGCTGGCATCATTCTGCATAGGATTGTTCTGGTTTTTAGTTTACTTAAGCCAGGAATAAATTTCTTTTTGCATTATTGGGTATATCTAATGGAGGCTTTTGTGCCAGCAATGTCAGGCCCATTACTGTTTTGACAACCTGTAATGGGAGTAAACCGAGATGCCACATATTTGCATTCATGAACTATTTAAGTCACACTTCAGTCCTCTTTGTACTGCTCAAGGAAGATACCTACATTTTGTTGCTTTCTATTAGCCTCAAGAAATTCGACTGACGGTAACTACTTTGTAACATTTTTGCAGTTTTTTAAATTACTTCCTGGTTTTAATGTCATAAATGTCTTTTTAAATTGTTGTAGTAATCTGTAAAGTATTACTGCAGTTATTTAATATGAGATGATCATGGATATATCTTGTGGTTGTTTTGTTTTAGAATGCAGAAGAAAATCGAGCCATTGAAAGCAAGAAAACAAAGCTGGATGAAAAACCCTCATCCGTACACAAGACTTCTAGTAACAGAGAGTGAGTGTTAATAGTGTACTGATATGATACTTTTAGAGTAGTTTACACCCCTCCCTACTAGTTTTCCTTTTAAACCTTAGGCAGTTTAAACAGCAGTTTTGGAAGCCAGTGGAACTGTAAAAGCAGTTCTCCAAAAATTGAGAACAAGGGTGCATGTCTGAATCATGACCACCATCCATGGTTCGTTGCTGTTGTGATTGAGAGAACATAATGGATTGTCTCACTCATTTCCTTATTAAAAACACACACACATTCTTACACACCAGCTCTTGTTAGTGAAGGATCAGAGACTTCATAATAAAGTTGACATCTTCTAGGAATGTTTCACAGTTACAGGGCATGTGCAGTCAGGCTTAACATTTTGTTTGTGTGTCTGTATAATTTTCTTTTTACTATGCTTATTACATACAAAATTAGAAAAAGAGATGGAACCATGTATGGAATATATTTACTTGAAAATGAATCTGAAGCCGTACTTTTCCCCATACCTTGATTAAAGCTTGAGTGCAGTGTCTGGGGCTAAGCTGAATTTTGCCTCTGAGCCATGAATAGGCTCCCTCTGCCATCAGAGAAGATGTTCTATTGGTAGTAAATAATCCAAAGGAGTCTGAAAGAAGCTCTAGTGAGCAAAATATTTACTAACTGCAAGTTGATGGAATCTGCATGTAAGCCCCTTTTTAATTACCAGGATGTAATGTCGTTCTTTAGAGCACCTCCCTTTTCTTCAGTCTGCGCGCCTTTTTGGTTATTTTTGCAAGTCCTGTTTGAGCTGGACACCATTGTCTGCTTTTTCAAACAGAAATCTTAATAGTGTGGTAGAACAAGGTATCTGCTTTGCAGCTGGTGAAGCAGGATCTCCTTGTATAAAGCGTGTGACTTTTTTGCAGGTCATCAAAGCAAAGTGCTGTTAAAGAGAAAGATCTTCTCCCTTCTCCTTGCACCACCCCAGCCATCCAAAAAGATTCCAAGCAAGAGCATGTCTCAAGGAAGAGAACCATCAGTCAGTCTTCTTCCTTGAAATCAAGCAGTAACAACAACAAGGAAGGCAGTAGCAGTAAAAGTAGCTCATCAAAACAAAAGAAGACTGAAGGGAAATCTTCTAGTAATTCTAAGGAAACAAAAGTAAGAATTTTGTGTGGCAGTTGTGGCAGTTCTTTTCTGAGTCCTATGTGGGAAATCTGATTTCTTATCCATTTTTTGCCTTAATTTAGTTGAGTCAGGGGAATATATCTCTTCCTAATGTACTTATTAGCAGAGCCTGTATGAATATGAACATGCCTTCCAGTATGTAAAGTTGAGGTGTTGGGCACTGATAGCTTTCTGAGGGACAATTGTTACTCTGAATTGCAAAAGGGTACTTCTACTAAGTCTGGCAGTGTTTTGTCAATAGAAAAGCAAACGTGATAGCTGAATTTGTAATTAAAAGAACCTGTGGCTGAGACAAAGCTGTGAAGCATTGTAGGAACAGGACAGTGGAAAATCTTAAGAAGTAAACAAGTAGTTGAGTATTTAAGCAAGGGATGCAATCATGGCCTCTCAGGATTTTTCTCAGCTTTCTAGCCAAAAGGGGTTGTACAGGCGACAGAAGTTGGCTTTTATTGATTTCTTTGGTACCCTTCTTTCTAAGTTGTACTGAGTCAAGTCTAGACTGTTTTTTAATTAGGATAATTAGTACCCCCTCATAGTTCTGCTGTGTCTTAATAATTCTCTGAAGTTGTATAGTCTTATCATGTTCTATTGAAATGGGTGCACAACTTAGTTTCATGGGGCAAAGTTGACCATGTACGGACTTAAATGTGTTGTACTGTGAAAGTATATTACTGGGCCCTGCCTATGACTTCATCAGGCCTTGCCTCATGATTTTCAGGGTTTGGGTTGCTAGGAATTTAGTAACTCAAGCAAACAAAATGTCAATCACTGTTTTTTTCCATAAATGAATTGCAGGCTCATGCCCCCTAAGTTTGCCTCTGAGCTGAGTATGGAAGGGAGAGGGGTTTTAATGGCCCATCTGTTATGTTTCTGTTTCATTGGCACCTGACTGACCTGACATTGATGAGCTGGCTCTTTGTTCAGAGCTATAGCCGTCAGAGACCTGGAGTCTGGCAATACCTGTTGAGTCACCCAGTTGATGGGGGGGCGGGGCGGTTGTACTATAAAAGTTGGTGGGCCACTTGTGACCCTTGGGAAGTATTTTGTGCCCCTCCTGCATTAAAACATTAGCATAGTTGGATATATTTCAGTAGTGAAACACACTAGTGAAAGGTGAAGTGGAATACAGTCTAGTTGTTTTACATGTGAAGTGGAATACAGTCCAGTTGAATATTGCCCTATATTGCCCTAAAATTGGAACAGAGAACATATGCACAGCATGGAGAAATAAGTTTTGTTCACATTAATATTTGTCCCAGGACATTGCACCTGTATATTACTATGAAGCAGTTTTTTTAAACCCTGTCTTTCAAGCAGAAGTTTGGGAAGGTTGAAAAGAGGAGGGAAGAACAGTGGTGATTAGGGAGAACTGCACAGAAGGTGACCATATGAAAATCTTTGTATGCAAGTCTTAGATTTTATAGCTTTATAACCACCCTGGGACTTCTAGCTTACTTTGGAAAAAATGATTGTAGTGTAAAATATCCCCAAGTTGGTATACTACGTTATTACCCAGTGGCAATATTCATTCTCAGTTCCGTTATCTGGCTGTAACTTGATCTTGCTTGCATGGTTCTGCTTCAGCATAGGCTGGAACAGTACCAGTGATGGTGACCTGAATAAGCTGTATAGTCTATAAGATCAGTTAAAAATAATGATTTTTACTATGGGCGAATCATAATAGCTGTTTCGTAATGAAGACATAGTACTGGCCTTCATCAGCATTACAAAACAGCTTGCTAGCTTTGTACTTCGGATTTGCTGGGTTCAATATAGCTACAGCTGTGTCTGTCGAGCTCTGTGTGTGGTGAGCATGGGTGACAACACACATCTGGATTGCACTTAACCATGAGTAATGAGCATAATGAGTTTGACAAAATCAGTGTGTTAACTAACAGTGGTATGTTGTCTTCTTTCAAGGAAAAGGTTTTAAATAATTCTTCAAACTGCTCTTCTGCCTCCGCTACGACTGCAGATAGCTCAAAATCCCGGAGGCCAAAACTACTATTTGATGACAGGTGAGAATAAAAATAAAAGCTAGGCTAGTGTATTTGGAGTCTTGTCCCACATTTGTAACGCATACAGGTGTTGGGGTGGGGAAAGAGGGAATATTTAGTGTTAGGGCCTCAGTATTGTCAAAAGAGCAATTATCTTCCCCATTATCCACTGTTCTTTATGCAAACTGAGACAAAGCAGCAGCCCACCCATAAAGTTCCTGCCTTGCATGGGGGTATCACTCAGCTAGGTGCACTGACATGTGCCAGGACCAGAGGGGATGCAAGACTGTTTGAATGGAAGGGAAGTACCGTAGCATGATGTTTGCTCCTCATTCTAAGAGCTGCCAGATCTCTTGGTAACAGGACAGGCAGGGGCTTTTGCAAGAGCTTTCTCTGTTCTGTTTAGCAATGTTAAGAGGCATTATCTCACCTGGACTTCATTTGGCCTCATACAGGTTTGTTTCTCCATCTGCCTCTGCCATATGGTGGGAACTGCTCTGTTTCTGTAGGAAAACTCAGCTGGTTTTATCAATCATAATTGATTTTGTTTTGTGTTTCAGGACTTACTCTGCAGATCATTACTTACAAGAAGCAAAGAAGTTAAAGCACAATGCTGATGCATTGGTAAGGGCAAAAAAAATTAAAATCTTAAACCGAGTCTTTTTGTCAGAAACCAGGAAATTAGACCAGTCAGCCTAATGTCTGTCCCAGGCAAATTAGTAGAAACTGTAATCAAAGATAGAATTGTTATAGGCACATAGAGAGACAAAGCCTGCTGAGGAAAAATCAGAAAAGGGAAGTTCTGCCTCACAAGCCTTCTGGAGGTCTTTGAGAAAGTGAACAAACATGTAGCAAATGGTGACCCAGTAGACATATACCTGGACTTTCAAAAGGCTTTTGACAAGGTACCTCACCCAAGACTGTTGAGTAAACTTAGCAGTCATGGGAGAAGATGACGGGTTCTCTTATGGATTAAAAACTGATTAAATGACAGGAAGCAAAGAGTAAGGATCAATGGACAGTTCTCACAGTGGGGGGAAGTAAGCAGTGGGGTCCCACAAGTATCAATATTGGGGCTGGTACTATTTAATTTATTCATCAGTGATCTGGAACTAGGGCTGAGTAGGGTAGTGATCAAGTTTGCAGATGACACCAAATTATTCAGGATGGTGAAAACCAAGGCTGACTGTGAGGGGCTCCAAGAGGACCTCCACAAACTGGGTGAGTGGGCGACAATGTGGCAAATGAAGTTCAATGTTGGTAAGTGTCAGGTGATGCACATTGGGACAAAAAAAATCCCAGCTTCAAGTATAGGATAATGGGGTCTGAACTTGCTGAGGCTGAGGGAGAAAAAGATCTTGGAGTTGTAGTGGATAGCTCGGTGAAAGTGTCAATCCAGTGTGCACCAGCGGTGAAAAAGGCAAAATCTATGTTAGGGATTATTAGGAAAGAGAGTGAGAATAAAACAGCCAATATTGTAATACCCCTGTATAGATCCGTGGTGCAGCCTCATTTGGAATTCTCTTCACTGTATCTTAGAAAGGGAATTACAGATCTGGAAAAAGTACAAAGGAGGGGGACTAAGATGATTAGGGACTTGGGGCACCTTCCATATGAGGAAAGGTTGAAGAGTCTGGGACTTTTCACTTTAGAAAAGAGATGACTAAGGGGGGCCATGATAGTGGTTTATTAAAATTATGGGGTGGAGAGAGTTGACAAAGAGAAATTTTTTCTCCCTCTCCAGTGAAGCTGATGGGCAGTAGGTTCAGGATGGATAAAAGGAAAGACTTCTCTACACAGAGAGTGATTAAATGTGGAATTTGCTGCCAGAGGATATAGTGATGGCCACAGGAATAAACAGCTTTAAAGGGGGATTAGATAAATTCATGGAGGATAAGTTGTATCAATGGCTCCTAGCCATGGCAGCTGAGGGGAACCTACAGAGCCAGGAGGCAATATCAGGGGAAGGCCTTGGTTGTTGTTGTTGTTGGCTGTCCAGAGGAACTGGTTGGCCACTGCGTGAGACAGGATGCTGGACTAGATGGACTGTTGGTCTGATCCAGCAGGGCTCTTCTTATATTCTCTTATATGTTCATATGTTAATATAATTCATTTCAGGCCATGTTTCTGATCCTATTATAGTCTTCCCTTTTATGCTTGCTATTCAAAGATTGGTATTCTTCAGTCTGACAGGTTTGAGAAAGCTGTGTACTACCTTGATGCTGTAGTGTCATTCATTGAATGTGGGAATGCATTGGAGAAGAATGCTCAGGAGTCAAAGTCCCCATTCCCTATGTATTCTGAAACAGTGGAGTTGATCAAGTAAGTGATTAAAAAAGTCAAAACAGAGTCAAAGAATTCAAATTGTCTTTTTAAAGATTTTTTTTGTTCATGTGAACTTAAATTGTTACATAAAAGAAATACTCATACACCTTGTCGTATTTAATGAGGCTTTATCAAGATTAGATTTCCTTGGTAGACTTGAAAAATGAAATTCTGTGTCCTGCTAAACATAAGATTTTGGATGCAATGAATGCAGCAAAAACCTAAAATAATTTTTGATAAAAGAACAGTGAATAAAAACAGGACGTTTTGGCTTATTGTTCTATGGTTGCAGGTACACTATGAAATTGAAGAATTACTCGGCACCAGATGCTACTGCTGCTGACAAAAGACTAGCAGTACTGTGGTATGTATATGTTAAATTTAATTAGAGAGATGTAAATAACTAAAAGCAAAATATAGCCATGAAAAGCTAGTTTTTGTGGAGTACTTAAATTCAGAGATTGGAGCCATGAACAGACAACACATATCTTTCTGTAAACCTGGAAAACACTCCAGGTTTGCAGAAAAATACGAAACCTTTAAAAGGGGGGGGGGACCAACACCTGTAGCTTTAAGAAATTAATATCCTCAGTGGCTGTTGCTAGGCAATCACAACAGTATTGCAAGCCTTGGTCACCATCAGAAAAAGCAGGGGATATAGGGCCATTTTCAGGCTTCTTTGGTGGAAATAATCTGGGGAATGTGTTATGTGGGAAATGAGTTGGTCCCCCCCCCCCAAGAAGTCCTTGTGGGTTCTCCACTTCTCAACTGGGTCTGACCCTGATGAACAGCACTACACAACTAGAATGTGGTTTTCCCAGGTAGAGGCTGCCAGGGTGAGGGAAGGAGGGAAAGACCATACTGATGAAGATAGGTTGGCTGGTGAGTGAGAAGGAAGTAGGAAAAGAGGAGAGGCTATGGGGGTTTTCAGGGAAGTGAAAGAGGAAATAGTGAGAGAGAGGTCCCTTCTTGTAATACCTAATATATAAAACAAATTAATTTCTTTCCTTACTGATATAGGACTGAAGTTAATTGTTCAAAGTCAGTATTAGAAATGTAATGCTATGGTGTTTATCATTCTCTAAGAACAAAGTCAAGCTATTAAATGGGCTTTATTTTTGACACCTGATATGAATGAGAAATTGAGTCATGATGGTTCTAGAGTCAATTGAAAATGGGAATTGCATATTTTAGAGCGCACAGCTGCTGTTATTTGAGCTATTCCAAAGCAAGATCCAAAAGTAATGTTGCTTTTTGTTTTACTAGTCTTAGATGTCAGTCCTTGTTATATTTAAGACTTTTCAAGCTGAAGAAGGAAAGTGCATTGAAGTATTCCAAGACACTAACTGAACATCTAAAGGTAAAAAGTCTACTGTTACAAATTGTTCAGAAGAAATTATTCTCATGGTGCTTTATTTCAATGAAGTTAGCTTCCAGAGTAGTTGTAACTGACTGAGTTAATCTTTGTCATACAGCTAATAATTCAAGAATTTGGCAATTCCAGATGGGTAGTCATGCTAGTTTGCCATAGCAAAGTCCTCTGCCATCTTAAAAATTAACAGTTTATTATAGGTATTAGTTTTCTTGAGCCAGTACTAACTTTGTCAACTTTGGCAGTTTTCTTAATTATAGCTACTATTTACAAATATGTCTATCATCGTGTTTCATTCCCCCCCCCCCTTTTCCCCCAATGATTGAGTGTATTGTTCAGTTTGCTTCTCTAGATCTCTAAAGTTTTTTGCAGGAGGTCCCAGAAATCAGATTCCTGGCAGTTAATGTAGTTCCCTCTTCACATCCTGCATTGTTTCTCTTAAACTTCAAATTTGCTGTTTCCTAATGGTGTTATATTTGGAATCAAAAAACTATACTGAATCTATATTTATGTTGGTTTATCTCTATGAATTGCTGTGGATTCCCTTAATTAAATAGCAAGGTAATAGCATAACTAAGCTTGGCAGCATCTGGCAGTGAACAAGAAAATCCCATATCAGATCTTGCTCAGGCACCAGTTTTTTACTTTGCCTCAGTGCCCCGCACCTTTTTACAACATGTGAGCCGTGATATATTCCCCTTTGGCTTTGGTGCTTAGAAATCCTAAATTTCATATTGGTAGAATGTTAGGACACTTCATCTTCCTGCAGAAATGTTAATTTTTTTATTGAGGTAAAAAGCTATTTTCTTTAATGAGCTAGACCGTACAAAATAGAAGCATGAAAAAGTTAACCCTACAATTAAAGTGAAAATAAATCTTAAAATTATCAAAGTACCTAGCATTGCTTCTTAGCAAGTAATAGTTTTAAAAAGCAAATCAGTTTTCAGCTGTTTGTCTCACTGCTTTTAGGAATAATCAAAAGTCCAAGTTACTCCCCAAGTAATTTTACCTATTCTTCTGGGACTTGCATTGAGAGAAGTCTGATTTGCTTGTTACAGGAGTGCATATTTAGAGAGAAATATGAATGTTAGGACACTTCTTAATAGGGAAAAGTGCCATGTTTCTAACTTTAAAGTTCAGGTAATGCTTAATACATTTATTACTTGTGAAAAATTGTTTTGAAAGCATGTGTCCGTTGTTTCAAGTGAACTATGTTGCTTTCAAGAATTAATGCTTATTAGGCCATTGGAGAAATCTAATATACTGTAAGAAATAACATAAAAATGCTTGGAAAGAACAACATTTCAGATTTAGATAAGAAAGCTTAGATCTTTGGGCTCTGGATAGGGATATGGATGTGGAAACCCCAGATATGTTCTTTCTAGATTCCATAGCAGTTAAATAATTTTCATTATGTTCATCTCTTAGGGATACATAGAACTTCTAGTAATAGTGTCTGATCCCAGAAAGTTTCAGATAAGATTTCAAAATCTAATGTTTTCGAATGCTATGGTGATCATACAGATTTGGGAAGACTGATTTGGGGTGTGCAAAAAAAACCCCACCAGTATTTTTTGGGTTCGGGTATATTGAACTTGGAAAATATCCGTATTTCCCAATATTCCCAAATCCCAATACCGATATGGTATTTTGATTCGGGAAATATTTGGGAAACCCAGATTTTTTTCAGCTTTATTAAACCCTGTGGGGACCATTATAGTCAGTGGTCTCCATAGAGCAGGGGTCATTTCCTGCAGGAGCGCGCAGGAGTGTAGCTCCGGCAGTAAAGAGCCCAGGGGGTGGGCGCATGCAACAAGCCCCACCCCCTGCTCCCAGCAGCCCTCAGTCAGAGCAAGAAGCAGCCAGGTAAATTGCAGAGCGCCCCCC